CTCGCTCGCATACCACTGTGCAGACATTCAATTAAACTTACAAACTTACGCGGGCAACCAAACTTACCCAACACCAGCCACAATGCGTGGCGGTTCACCGTATCAAATGCCTTGGTGAAATCAACAAAAAGCGAGTACAATGGCTGGTGTCGTTCTTTGCACTTATCCTGCAACTGGCGAGCCGCAAACACCATATCTATAGGGCTGCGACCCGAGCGTAATCCACACTGCTCTTCCGTCACGTTAGGTTCCACAACCTGACTGACTAGCCGGTTGAGCAGGATTCTGGCAATCACCTTATCCACACAACTCAGCAAGTTGATGGCACGATAATTCGTGCAACATTGCTTGCTCCCTTTGCCCTTGTACAATGGTAGCACAAGGGCCATCTTTCAGTTCGGGTGGCACCTCCTCCTCCATCCATATATGTTGCACCAAGTGGTGCGGCACAGTCAACAACGAGGGTCCGTCGTGTTTCAATACTTCAGGCGGGATCCCGTCGGCCATGGCACACTTGCCGTTTCGCAGCTGAGCAAGTTCTCTCTGTGTCGCATCCAGTGTCAGCGTGTCCACCAGACTCTTCTTCACATCGTGCTGCTTCAGGCCATTCAAAGTAGGCCAGTCCATCTCTGAACGGTTGTTCAAGAGACAGTCAAAGTATTTTTTCCTGGTCTGTATTATGTCTGCAGTCTGTGTGCAGGTATAACTTGAACTACCATCGATTAGCGTCCTCAGTGGCTGCAACCTCCATCCATACACCACCTTCAAGAAGTCAAAGAATTCTTTGTGTTGGCTTAGCATTCCATCTGCTTTGCGTTCTCCGACCACTATGCGACGGAGTTATCGAGACATTCGCCGTCGAAGTTCGCGAAACTGACTCTTCTTCCTCAAGTCACTGTGGTCTGCCACATGTGCAGCAAGTGCTGCATCCTTTTCAGACAGCAAAACGCCAATCGTTGCATTGTTGTCATCAAACCAATCAGGTCGCTTACAGTTTGCGCGCCCGGTGGTATTATCGGCAGCATCTGTCATCTGGTTGCGAATGTGGTGCCACAGGTCGTCCGCTGTGGATATATATATATATATATATATATATATATATATATATATATATATATATATATATATATATATATATATATATATATATATATATATATATATATATATATATATATATATATATATATATATATATATATATATATAGAATCAACAGGCACCGCGAAGGGAGACACAACTTGTTTGTGCTCTCATTGTACGCTGCAACTGACTGTAGTGACGACTCGGTCAAGGACGGATTCTACCGGGATCTACAACAGCCCTTGACTGATGCTAAAAAGTCGGATGTCGTTATCATTGATGGGGATTTTAATGCACGGGTTGGCCGCCTGTTACCATACGAACGCCACCTTGGTGCTCATCACGCGCTCGATGAGAACCGCTCTGATAACGGAGAGAGACTTCTCATATTGTGCGAAGACAACCGTCTGTTTCTTTCGAGCACTAACTTCAGGCATACGAAGAAGCGTTCCGCAACGTGGCATCCCCCTTTTTCAACGCAACCGTGGTCTCAAATTGATCACATTGCAATTAGCTTCAGATGGCGCGGCAGCGTACTAGACTGCAGGTCCTTTTGGTCCACATTCGTTGACTCAGATCATGCTCTGGTCTGCGCGAAAATCTGTATGTGTTTTGGAGGATCCCGAAACACGAAGCACCGCAAGATTGATGTAAACAGATTAACTGATTCCTCTGTCCAGGCGAGCTATCAGTCTTCATTGGCATATGCACTCAGTTGCAATCCACCGCAAGAAGTGGAACAACACTGGACGTGCATACAGAAGGCGATGACCATTTCCGGACAGTCATGCTGCGGCCTAACTCGATGCCTCTTGATGGCTTGGATCTCTGCTCGTTCTCTGGAGCTGTTCGAACGCCGCAAAGATATCCCCGCGGAATCAGATTGCAACGAGCGGCCCCGTTCTGCCAACCGGCTGCTCAAGCAAAGCCTACTCAAGGATCGAGAGACATAGTGGTCTGAGCGTGCTTTAGAGATGGAGACCGCTGCCCTCTCTGGCAATACTCACACGCTTTTCTAACTCATTCGGTCCACTGGCCTCAGGAAGCCTGGTGTCAGTGAGGTCATTTGTGAGGTGGATGAGTCTCCGATCACCAACCAACAGAGGCGTATGGACCGCTGGGCCGAGCACTTTCACTCGCAGTTCAACTGGCCTTCACCATCCATCAGTACATGCAGTACACGTTGTTGTCCACCCTGGCTCGTCCCCCTGAATCCACCCAGCGAAGCGGAAGTCTGCCTCGGGATTCGACGCTTGAAGCGCTTCAAGGCTGCCGGCTTAGGCGGACTTCCTCCGGAATTATTCAAGTATGGCGGTGTGGCGATCATCAGCCAACTGACTGCGCTGTTTACAAGCATTTGCCATGAAGAGAAAGTGCCTTCCTCTTGGGGCGAATCAGTTATTGTCCCGATTTTCAAGAAAGGCGCTCGCACTTCATGTGCAAATCATCGCGGGATTAGTGTTATTTCGGTTGCCTCCAAGCTATTAGCATCCATTCTGCTTCGTAGACTATCCCCAGTACGTGAATCATACTACCGTGAAGAACAAGCTGGTTTCCGTCCTGGCCGCGGATGCGTGGATCAAATCTTCACGCTCCGCCAACTCCTTGAACATCGCCACATTTAGCACAGGCCCACTATCATTGCATTCCTAGACATACGTGCTGCTTTTGACTCCGTTGATCGACCTGCTTTATGGCATTGCTTACTAAAGAACGGGGTGCCAGAGAAATATACCGCCATCTTACGAGCACTTTACCTTCATACTTGCGGCAGAGTCAGAGTCTATGGCAAGCCTTCGTCGCAATTCGCTGTCAATAGCGGTGTGCGACGGAGCTGCCCTATGTCCCCACTCCTGTTCAACTTCGCAATCGAGGACGTTCTGTCGAATGCTCCAGGTTTCCAACATTTTGGCCTAGAGCTTCTACCGGGTGAGCGCGCGACCGACTTAGATTATGCTGATGACATCGCCTTACTTGGTGACGTTCCTCATGGTATGCAACTCATTCTGGATCGTTTGGCGGTTGAAGCATCTAAGTATGGCATGAGCTTCGCCCCATCGAGGTGTAAAATACTGCTCAAGGATTGGCTTTCACGTGCTCACTCTCGAAGGTGCACAACTTGAACAGGTAGATAGTTTCGTCTACCTTGGGAGCTGTGTTTCTGCTGACGGCACCATCAACAAAGAAGCTTCTCTTCGTATCGCTAAAGCTCGATCAGCATTTGTCAATCTGAGGCACTTGTGGCGTCGTCGCGACGTCTCATTCTCACTAAAGGACCGCGTTTACAGCGCATCAGTTCGCTCAGTATTATTGTATGGGTGCGAGTCCTGGCCGATTCACGTGGAAGATATGCGTCGTCTTTCTGCGTTCGCTAACGGTTGCTTAAGGAGGATCGCTCATGTTTGATGGCAACATCTGGTTAATAGTAATGACGTTCGACGTCGCATCTTGGGGAATGCGAGTATTCCCTTCAACAAACTGGTTTTGTTGCGCCAGTTGAGATGGCTCGGTCACGTCCTACACATGGCATCTGAGCCTCTACCGCGTCGCGCTCTATTCGCTCGTCAAGGTCCTGGCTGGATGCGACCGCGTGGTGGTCAGCCTTCTACTTGGCGGCAACCATTGCCTTCGCTGACTTCGTGTCTAGCCGCTGTGGGATCCGTACGTCTTCCAGGATGGGGACCCAAATATGAGGAGTGCCAATGGCTTAGCGCTCTTAGAGACATGGCCCTCAACAGGAATCAGTGGAAGAATTGTGTACAGTATTGTATTGATTCACACGTTTAATACTACAAACATTAAAAATGACAAAAAAGAGCAAAATCGGCGTGTGAAAAACAAGCTAAAGTGGTTTGTTGCACTATTTGTCAAAATGTTTCATTCTTCCTGCGGCATATTAGCTGAAGTGTGTTGCTCACCTTCAACTACAATGCCACGATGATTATGACGCGACGACTCTTGCTTATACGTTTATCTCCATGGTTTTATATTGGTTCTTTGTCTAGTTGATAGACTATTGAGATTGTACTACTACTACTACTATTGCGTTTCTCTCTCACTGCCCAAGGTTCTGGTTCTGCAAACCAAAGCAAGCACCACACGGGTCCTCAACCATGTCAATCTAGGGAACTGATCTTGTCTTCTTTTAACTCCATTAGACAATGTGGTCCGAGTCTTTCGGAGAGATTACCTATCATAGCCCAATGGGTCCGATAGGCACACTTACCGTCTCATGATTAATGATCCGGTTTTATTATATTGGGGTGTTATATCTAGACTGAGTCCGATTATTGCAGAGCAGAGCAAAGCTACTTGTGCAGCTTCTCGTCATGCAAGAATGTTAGGAATATCAGTTCCTTCAGGGATCTCAACATTTGTTTCATCCGAAATTATAAAATTATCTTAATAATTCTGTGCTCGGGGTGTTTGCATGTGAGCCTACCCTATCTTTTTCGACAGAAGTTGAAGTTACACTTGATAGCCTATTGGTACCGCCGGAAATACATCTTCCTTCGGTTACAACCCAATTCCTGGACTGACGCCGTTCATTAGTTGGGTGCAGAACGCTACGGCTTGCTATGCTCTTTGCATCGTCCAATACAAGATACCGCTACTTGATCGAACTTGAATCACATCTCACTGCCTTACAATTTAACAAGTGACTTACGCACATTGAAACTTCCAGTTTAATGTGCTCAGAATGTAGTGTCTCTCCATTCTACTTGTAGTGGTGGCATCCGGCGTTGTCTTTGACGGCACGCTCTACTTTTCATCCATTTCCGGCGAACTTGTCCATCCGTCACGTTACATACTTGCTTTTTTCCTTCCTGATCTCTTCTACGCTTCAGCAGCATTTAATTTAGCTCTCTCTAAAATCTGCTTCGTACTTAGTTGCATCACGTCTTCATTCCTTTCAGAATATTTGGACTGAATTAGCACCAAGTTCATTCACGCGTTCTGCAACGCTTAGTGCGGAATGGAACAGACACAAGATTGGTACTACTGCGCATATGAAATTCCGTTTCGTGGAGTCTCCATGGAAAACCCTACCGGGCATTTGTCATTGGCCCTGCGCAACAAAGGCGAGCGGCGCACATTTGGGGCTGCTTTTACACGTGCTCAAGCCTATGCTGGTATGTCGCATGCACCAGCTTCATCGCGCCTTATGGGGGTGCTTGCTGTTGTCCCCTGGCAGCTTATCTTTCTCCCCTGTGTCACAGCGCGCGATGGAAAGCAGGTTGATTCCAACCACGTTCGGTAAGTCTTCATCACACCCACCGCTCCTGAAAAGTACCCCTAACTGTTTTGGTCCTCTTCTTTAATTCGTAAAACTTATTTTTATTTGCTCAGTTCTGTTATTCTGCTGCATATTCCGTGTCAATTTTTCATGTTTAACTTTTTGTATTCTATGTTAGCTGTTTGATATCCCTGGTGTGGTTGTGTTTGATGCGATTGTTGCTTGAAATGTGTCAGCTGTACACCGTAACGGCGCTTCGCTGCCACGCGACCACCACCATTCGCGCGCGGGCTGAGTATATCGCGAGGACGCCCACCCCTACGCAGATTCGAACCGGTGACCTCATGATTGCAAGCCAGGCGTGCAGACCAATCGGCCACCGGCGGACCACGGAAGAGAAGATGCACGTCAAACCTGATGAGTGTTACATACACGGATATTAGAAAACTGTAGTGTTGATGTGAAGTTGGAATTTTACACCGTAGTGAATTACTGTGCGCAACACCGGCCAATTCGACTCACTTCGTCAATTTTTTTCTGCACAATGCAGTACGGTGGATTCAGTTACTTTAACCCACAACACCGAAGCAATAATAATAATAATAATAAATAGCATATTGCAAGAGATAAAATTGTTGAAAAACAGGAAAGGGACATTATCGTCAACACAGGTTAGTTGAAGGTGAGAAACACGCGCCCGCTAATATGCCGCAATACAAAACCTGCAACTCAATTCCTCGCCGGCTTGTGATCTAAAGACAGCAAGCATGTCTTGTAAGCTGACGGCGCGGATTCGAGCCTCCGTAGGGACAGCGCGACCCTCGCGTCTGGTGATTGTTGCGCGGCAGCGAAGCGTCGCTACTGCGTACCGGCGTACTACTGATACCATTCCTCGCTGTTCACCTGACCCGTGCAAGCGATGCCAACTTCGCTCGCGACGTTGATTGGCTTTTCATTTCACTGGCTACTAGCCGGTTTCGATCCCATAACCTTCCAGCTATTACCACAATCAGTCTTATCTTTTGATAACTTTCGGCAAATATAGAGTCCTTTACGACGATTTTTCAATACTGTCATTCCATTAGGAGTCAAGAGCTGTGTTAAGTTCGGGTTTCGGAGTTCCGATGAAAAATACGTCATGTCCAACTAAATAGAGTTCATAACATGTTACGCAAATAATTTCTTATCCCATCTGTTGAATATTATTGGCAGTTAAGTTAGGATATTTTATGTCCTTACTCTTACCCAACCGGAAATTTGATATTTTCTCTTTTCAAAAAGTATTTCCCACCTTACTTGAGACTTCGTGTTCATCTCTACGGTGCGGACTTTTTTCAGCTACATTCTGTTCCGATATGCCTACTCATCGACATAATGTCACACGGGGGACGCTCTCATCCACCATAGTTTGCTGCATCTCATTATCACCCCTGTACGGTTGTTACATCTCATCACCCCTTCAGCCGCCTCCATTTTCAGCATTGACTGTTTGAGACTTGGCTGTGGATCGTGCTCTCTGCCCACCTTTTTCTTCAGGCGATGGTGATGTTGACTTGTCTTACACCCTGAAGTTTACGGACTCTTTGATGTGACAATCTCATCAATATAGCAACAGCGTCATGTTTTATATCTTGATGAGATCGAGAGGTGAAAGATTTTTCATCACGTTTACGTGGCAATGACCACTATTTCGGCTGAAAAATGCAGCCAATGCGTCAACAGCCTCAGCTCTACGCATTCTCTATTATGGAAACAGGTGCGCCAGGGCGCTTTGTATTAAGCCTCTTTTTATTCCCACCACCCGGAAAATTAAGTTTATGTACGGTCTGTGCTATGTGCTCTGGACGTACGTGACGCAGTGTGCTACATCCGCATACCTAAACTGAGTGTCGCAACCTGGTTGATCTTCGGAACTCTTCCGCTTTCTGTTCATCACTAGTGTCTTCGACGGAAACAGCTTTCTTTTCCCCAACTGTCTTATGTAGTTGATAGTAATGTGATCTATCAACAGACGGTATATTCCATCCAACTTTCTAAGCGCTTTCCGTTTGTAGCTAATTGTCTAGTCGCCTGCGCCCTCATGGTTCATAGCTGTTCTTTCCTATTTCTTGAGAGCTGACCCGTAGCCTTATGGATCACAAGCCTGCTTTGTAATCTAAAGGCGCAGGTTCGAGCCTGCGTTGGGACCGGACGACTCTCGCAACATCTTTAACCCACGGGCGACTAGTGGTGGTTATGCGGCAGAAAAACGTCGGTACTGCGTACCGGCGTTCTGCTGATGCCTTTTTAGAGAGCCAAAGAGTCCATCGATTCACCACAAGCTTTTGTATCATAGCGCACAATTTTTATTCGTTTAACAACTTTATGAGAATGATCTGCTTTTCCCGTTAGGAGAAAGACCCGTCTAAAAGTCTGTTGCGTTTTGATACAGTATCTCATTTTCGCGCGTGCTGCGCCGCTCTTGCGATGTTCCCTGTGGCAGCGTCATTGTCTTCACTGCACGTTAATTAGGGGTGAGAAACACCCCAGTTAGTATACCGCAACATAATTTGGTTAGATGGTTGTTCCAAGACTAAAACGGCACAACAAAACAGTAGTATTAATGTACTTTGTTTCATGTTATGCATTGACAACATCTTCGTTGGAGAGTGAAGATAACCACAAACACCACGTCATTAAACGTATTTTTGAGACCCCAACAGGGAAGCGCTAAATAAAGCCAACTTCGAAGCGAGGGCCTTCACTCCTTTTGACCGTATCATCAGTTGGCTTCCTCTCCTCTTCCATAAGACCCCAGTCCCGCAAACAAACCGCTTTGCTGGAGTCATTGCGTACGCATGCGTAACACGTGACCCAGCTATCGATGCGTAAAGTAATAGTGCTGAGCGGTTCACTTGCTCTTTCTGCGCCAGATACAAGACACTCATTTCACACGCGGTTCCCACTGGACAGGAGCTAAACTTCGGAGGCAGCAATAGTCGAACTTCTTCTTCTTCTTTTCCTATGTTGATCTGATCGGCCAGATTTCACAACTGTACACAAGGGTTGAACGGAAGGATGCATTGTGAACTCTGGTCTTCAGAGCGATAGTGATGTCGCGCCGGCTCCGTAAGTGGAGGGGTTGATCGAAAAATCTCGAGATTTCGCTGTTCTCTATCCCACAGATGGCTCTATCACATGGACAGTTACTGTTATAAATCGAACGAAGGCTAATGTAGCTGATCAGTTAGCTGGATTTCTGGATAACTTCTAGCTGATTCGGCAATTGTCAATACAGGCGGTGGTTCATACCAAATTTATGGGAGAACTACATTTTTGAGAGTGTAGAGCTGAGTCCAAAATGGTTGACAGCCAATGTTAACCTGTCCAAGGTTGCTTTGCACGTTTGTGAGTTGTCACAGTGGAGGACAATATGGTCGGCGCACTCCAAGTCTAAAGTCGATCACCTGGGAGCAAGTGTACGCATAGGTGGTGTCCAGTTAAAGTCGTTTCCATGACACCTTTGGAAATATTGATGGACGGCAGCAGTTTACCATAAGCCATCACTCTGCCTGAGCTACGCGCACAAATGCTCTTATAATATTTACGTATTTACCGGATATGCCTTTCCTAACCAGATATTTCTGAGGGTCACCGATCCCCGAGATAGAGGACAACTTTGGTTTCTAGAAACGTGACTGCGATGGGTTGACGATATAACTTGCGGTGCTCCAACAATTAAAGCAAGGTAAAGATGTAGTAACTACAGCTTCTATTTCGAGGAGACAGCCTGCTGTTCACGAATCTGGCTTTTAAGGGCACCATTCAATGTGTGAAGATAGTGGTAAGTATTTAGCTGTGGTGGAGATTAGATCGATGGAACAATGGATTTATCACAGATAACAAATCAGACGCTTAACAGTTTTTCCTAGATACAGTGATAGCAGTACTTACAGCAAATTTCACGTGAACACAGTTTCCTTACTTTGTTCCGTGTCCTAGTAACATTGATTAAATCATGTATTACTGCAAGTGGTGTAATGCATCACCAAATCGAGTTTTGAATTCGGATAACATAGGAGCGGAGATGACCGAATGCGGCATTCCAACGGGCTATGCTGTGTCGCTAACTTCAGATGGTGGTCTCCTGGTGATGTGTTGTGATGGAGTTTTTTATTATAAAGTCCGGTATGGGTAGTTGAGATTCTTGAGGATCTGATACACCAATATTAGATCTCCTCACAGAAAACGATATGGTTCACCGAAACCTCCTTAAGCCTTTAGGCTGAACTGGTAACCGAGGTGAGGCAATCCCTTAACATTTTTCTCGCCCTGCGTTATGGATTCTCAAGAGCAGTAAGGTCATGTTTTTACCAAAAATGCCACACCAGTATGGCTTATTCTACAGGTGGTCTCACATACGCTTTCAGCATTTTCGAAAAGAAGATAAGAGCAAACTGACCAAACGCCCTCTGCAGTGGGCCCAAGTATTGGCTGTCTTTTTCGCTGCCTTCTCGCTCTGTTTCGAGCATCCAGTTTCGTCCTATACGAGCACCTCAAGATCGTTGTCGTGAGAAGCGCGCTGCAAAACGTGTTATCCAAATCGATATTTGTAGGTGCTGTGGTGGCCAATACTCATTATTTTGCATCTGACTGGGTTAAACTCAAGCATGTTTTGTGGCGATCACTCGTAAGCCCTGTCGAGATCACCTTGCAGTGTTGTATGGTCGTCCACTCACTTGATTTCCCGTCCAATCTAAAACTCGTCCCAAATTAATATGAAGTTCGACGTCAGGTCATTTATGAACACCAGAAATAGCCGTAGTCCTAGTACCGAACCTTGAGGGACGCCACAGTGAAGCTTTTACGGGTCGGACAGGGCTCTGCGAACCCGTACTTTCAAGCTTCGTTAGAATAGGAGTGCATGTATCCAGCCCAGGAAGGGTCACCGATCCCATGCTTCGACGGTTGTAAAGAAGAATGCGGTGATCTAGGCGATCAGATGCCTTCCAGCAGCATCGACTCTATCCCCAGCATCAAC